GAAGCTTTTAGTAGAGCTTGTATAGCTAATAGAGTCAGCAAAGAATGAGCAATTGTTTTAGTAGCATCATATCTAAAAGGAACAGCATTAACTTGGTACAATCGTCAAAATATTACTTTTTGGGAGAATGATAATAACCCCCAACGATCATTTACGCATTTATTTAAGGATCATTTCTGTAACCCTTTCAGAATCAGCCAATGGAAACATCAATTGCGAAATAGGAAACAAAAACAAGATGAAACGATTGAAGAATATATCGCAGCAATCACAGAATTATGGAAAAGAGTAGATCCTACTGATAGACGAATGGAATTAGATAAAATTCATGAATTTATCGAAGGTTTAAGACCTGAATTTGTTGTACCCGTACAATCTGCTATGCCTCAAACAGTAGAAGAAGCAATGGAAAAAGCACAAGCATTAGAAACTGCTTTTTCAATGGGAATGGACCTGTCAGTTTATTCAATGATGCCAGGTTATTTACAAAATATGAATGGAGGAATGATCTCTGCTCGAACCAACTTAGCCATGTATCAACCTGCCTATTCGATGAGTTATTCCCAACCAGAAAGTGTAGAAAAGATGGTTGAACGGAAAATCAGCGAAGGAATTACTGCAGCATTAAGCCAGATGCGTATAGAAACTAAACCAACTAACCCTACTTCAAGTAATAACAACAATAATAATCAAAACAGGAATAATTCGGGATGCTATGTCTGTGGAAGAACTGGATATATCACGAAAAACTGTCGTCAAAGAAATAATCAACAAAACAATAATAATTGCAATAATAATGGGAGAGATTTAAGGAATGTTAATTGTTACAATTGTGGAAGAAAAGGACATGTATCCAGAAATTGCAGGTCACCACCATCAAATAATAATAATAGTAATAATGGAACCAATAATGGTTTCCAAAATAATGGTCGTTTAAACTACTAAGCGCACCTCTGAAGGGGGAGAGTGCGAATTTTAGAAAACCCTCTAACGAAATTAGTAATAAAAGAGTGAATTGGAAGGATCCATTAGAAGAAATCAAACCTATTGAAAAGCCAATTCAACTGTTAAAAAGATCTACATATGTTCTTAACATTTTATATAATAACTTTGAAATTTATTTATCAAAACGACTACAGAAAAATAAAATGATATATAATTTATGGCAAGTAGTAGGAGGAAAAGTAGAAAATCGTGAATCTTCTCTTCAAGCTGTGCTTAGAGAAACAAAAGAGGAAACAGTGCTAGATATTAAAAAAGATGAATGTGTATTTTTATTTAACGATCCAGCTTTTAATTGTGATGTTTATTTAACGAAAGTACCTGATTATCAAGAGTTACAGCGAACTGAACCTGAAAAACAAGGAGCTTAGATAATTACTTCTTTTGAACAATTTCAATTTATGGCGAAACATAATGAATTAACCCCAACACTAGTTAATCATTATACTGATATTCTTAACCAATTAATTAGAAAAGAACCAACATATTTTAATTAAAAAGAAAGAGCTGAAGCAGCTTTATATGGAGAAGCGATTGTATATGGACAACCTGTTAATGTCTTAATAGATTCAGGAGCTGTAGGTTGTATTATTTCTAAAAGATTCCTAGATAAAGTCAATAAAGGAATTGAATTACCTACGAATATTAAAATCATCAATGTAACAGGACAAAAATCATCACCACTGGGAATGGTTCAACAAGTTCCAGTACAAATGAGGGATATTAAAGTCTATGTCAATATGATAGTCACAAATTCAGCTGAATATAATGTTTTGCTTGGTAACGAATGGTTGAAGAAGGTTAATGCAAATATCGATTATGGACAGAATACCATCACCATTAAATATGAAGGAATCCAACAACAAATTCCTATCACATGTTCTCAAAAATTGGACCCAACAAAATATACAGTCATTGATCCAGTAGATGAACTAGAATTAGAAGACGAGTTAGAAAACATCATAGCAGTTCCATTTTATAAGGCAGAAATAACTGAAAGTACTTTTCAAATCAATGATCGGGAATATCACCCAGGGTATTTAGAGTATATTAAGCAACAAAATCACAATAGTACTGGTGTAATTAATAGTAAGGGACCAGGAAAATGCCTATGTAAAACCCTAAGAGATCAAGAAGTTTGTAATAATTGTCAAATAGTTCAAGAAGATTGGAACATTTATCACGTGATGCAAGAATCAGAAAGTCCAAATATATCTAATATTCAAATAGAACCAGAAAAAGTTGTTCCAATTGGAGAATTAGAGGAAAGTCAATACCAATCACTCCATCAATTACTAGATAAAAATAAAGATTTATTCGCTAAATCATTGCAAGAGTTAAAACAAACTCCAGAAGGGAAACATATTATTATCACTGAAGAAGTGCCACCTATCAAAAAACGAGCTTATAGGACAGCACCAAAGGAAAATGAATTTATTGAGAGTGAAATTAATGACATGTTAGAACAAGGACTAATAGAACCTTCAACTAGCTCCTGGTCATTTCCAGTAGTAGTAGTGAAAAAGAAAAATGGAAAACTTAGGTTTTGCGTTAATTATAAATTTCTTAACGATATTATGAAAAAAGATAATTATCCACTCCCAAGAATTGATGAATTATTAGATTCTCTACACGATGCACAATGGTTCACCACTTTAGATTTAGCATCATGGTATTGGCAAATAAAAGTAAGGGCAGAAGACCAGGAAAAAACAGCCTTTATCACAAAATTTGAAACATACGAATTCAAAGTTATGCCTTTTGGACTTTGCAACGCACCTGCGACATTTCAGCGAACTATAGATAAAGTTTTACATGGAATAAAGGAGAAGTTTGTTTTAGTTTATCTTGACAATGTCATTATATATTCAAAAACTTTTAAAGATCATGTTCAACATTTGGAAGAAGTTCTAAATAGAATTCGTAAGGTGAATCTAAAATTAAAAGCAGAGAAATGTCATTTTGCAGCAGCTGAACTCCAATTTTTAGGACATGTTGTAGGAAAAGAAGGTGTTAAACCTGATCCAGAAAAAGTCGACAAAATGGTTAATTACCCAGAGCCTTAAAATATTAGAGAATTACGCGGAGTCCTAGGATTATTCTCCTATTATCAACGCTTCATCAAAGATTTTGCTAAAGTTGCTGATCCAATGTACAAATTATTAAAAAAAGATGCACCTTACGAATGGACGAATTTACAACAGAAAGCATTTGAGGATTTAAGAAATAAATTAACAACAGCACCGATTGTACAATACCCAGATTTTTCAAAGCCTTTCTTTTTATATACCGATGCTTCAATTATAGGGTTAGGCGCAGTACTTGCACAGAAAACTGATGATCAAGAGCATGTGATTGCCTATGCTAGTCGAACTTTAATACCAGCGGAAAAGAATTATGCCATCACAGAATTGGAATGTCTTGCAATTGTATGGGCAGTTAAATATTTTCGACATTATCTTTATAGAAGTAAATTCACTATCATCACCGACCATGCAGCACTCAAGTGGTTGTTGAATTCAACAATAGAAAATAATAATAAAAGATTGGAAAGATGGAATATTGCCTTATCGGAATATAAATATGACATTGTATATCGGAAAGGAACTAAACATGCGAATGCTGATGCATTCTCTCGTCTCGACTCAACCTTAACTAATAATCACACCAATCCTTCAACTTCATGTAACGATCATGGATGAACAACTATATAAAGAATTAATTTTATTTTTAACAACTCTCGTTTTTATGGATGGTATAACTGATAAATGGAAAACCCAAATTCGGAAAAACTCAACTCAATATATTTATCAAAACAATATTTTATTTAGGAAAACAAAGGATGGTATAAGAAAAATAATTCTATACGAACAAGTAGAACCTATTTTATATCACTTTCATACAGATATGAGCGGTGCTCATTTAGGAATAGACGCTATAATTGGAAAAATCAAAAATCGATATTATTGGCTACAATTAGGAAAAGATGTAAAAGAATATGTAAAAACTTGTGATATTTGTCAAAAAAAAGAGGACCTACCAATCGGCGAGAAGAACTGATATCAATACCAGTCAAGGAACCATTTCATAGAATAGGAATTGATATTAAAGGACCATTACCGATCACCAGTAGTGGAAATAAATATATTATTGTCGCCATAGATTATTTTACAAAATGGCCAGAAGCAAGAGCGATATCCAATATTAAAGCAGAGACAGTAGCTAAATTTATTTATGAAGAAATTATTTGTAGACATGGAGTTCCACAAGAAATTCTATCAGATAGAGGAACATCATTTATGAATAAATTAATTGATGAATTATGTGAAAATTATCAAACTAAACATCGTCTTACCTCAGCTTATAGACCTCAAACGAATGGAATGGTTGAAAGATTTAATCAAACAATTGGTGAATGTATAGCAAAATTAGTTCAAGATAATAATAAGGAATGGGATTAATTAATCGATGCAGTACTTTTGGCATATCGAACAAAAAAACATAACACTACGGGAAAAACACCATTCTATTTAACTTATGGACGAGAAGCAACTTTACCAATTGATTTAAAATTCCATCACAAATACCTCAAAATGAAAAGGATCCAATGCAAAGACGAATTTATCAATTAATAGTTGAATTAAAAGAAGAACAAAATGATGTTTCGTTAAGAATTGAAAAAGAACAAGCGAAGCAAAAACAAGTATATGATCAACAAGGAATTTCAGAAAAATTGAAAATAGGAGATCAAGTTTTAGTAGAACGAACGTGGCTTAAAAATAATTTCTCAGCAAAATTAGAAAATAAGTGGATAGGACCTTATTTTATTCATGAAGTACTTAATGACAATGTTTATAAACTTAGAAATTTAGATGGAAAATTAGTAGTTAAACATGTAATTTATGGAAATAGACTTAAGAAATATCACGAGCGAAGATTGGAACCAATAGTTATAGTTTGAAAATAGTGCAAAAATTTTATTAAAAATAAGAAAATTATTATTGTTCGTTATTAATATTATTATCAACGTTATTATCATTATCGTTATTATTATCATTATTATCATTAATATAATTAGGACCATCAGCAACAAATATTTGATCGTAAGAAGAAGAAGAAAAAGATGAAGATGAAGATGAAGGTATAGGTGAAGGAGACTTAGGCATACTATCGTCAACAACAATCATACCATATTTTTGTATAACACTCATCGCGTGATAATATTTAGTTTCAAAATATTTTGTACTATACATAGCGCTTTTGTTCTCCCTTTTCAGTTGTTTTACTTTGCCATTTAAGCCGACAATTTCTTCATCTTGTTGAATAACCTTTTTCTGGGCCTCCCAGCATTCCACTTCGGCAATAGCCCACAGTTCGTTATTAGATTGCACTTCCTCTTCTTGTTGATGGATTAGCTCTTCTTGTTGATGGATTTGTATGGATTGTAAAACCCCAAATTCCGTCAAAGTTGCAACTTCTTCTTGTAAAAAATTGTTTTTAGCTTGTAAGGAATCATTTTCAGACCGAAACGTTTGAACTTGATCTTGTGTTATTAAATGGGAAAATAGAAACACCAAGTTAGTCAAAGACTAAGTAAATAAATCGATAGTCCAAAAAAGTTCTACAGAAGGAGTCCATTCAAAACTAGATATCCTGAAGGTATAAATACCCGTCTGCAAGTCGAAAAGAGTCAGAGAAATCAACTGTTCAAGAACCGGATAAAGGTTAAAATCCCGTCTGCAGGCTATCCCCGTTTAAGAAACATCTTATGAACCTTGCGTGCAATACTCACCCTCAAGTTGACGAAGTTGTGATTTACGAGCAGCTTTCAAGGTCTTAAAGCGAGCTTGTGATTTTTTCTGTAATGTTTTAGATCGACAGCGGCCCATTTTTAATATAGAGGTCTAAAGGTGAAATAGAAAGGTTTTAACAAAAGTGATATATGCAAAAAGATTTTGCAGTGAAGTGAAGAAAAAGGGGAAAGGAAAAATTAGGTTTTTAAATAAGAAAAAGACATGACGCGAGAAAATATGCTCTAGACGAAATAACAAAAATGACACGAAAAATTTAATAACAGCTGATAATTATTACACGTGAAAATAATTAAGGAGAAGAAAAAGTTATTTTTGGAACAAGGAGAAATGTTTCAAAATAGTAATACGCGATTAACTAATTTAAGGGGTAAAACTAATCAAACTAAATTAGTGAAACAATAATGTCGTGATCTACCAAAATTAGTAGTTGATCATTAATAATATTAATTAATTAAGTGAGACAATGAAATTCTTATTTAAAGACGTGTTCTATTTTGTTATGATTCACTTTTTCTCATCATGACGCCTTACGAAATTGTGTTACAAAACTTATTAACTGAAAGAAATAGTTCTCACGAATTACAAGATGAACCTTATTCAGATGAAATGGATGATAAAACAAAAATTCATGTGACATACCGATGTTTGTTACGAGCTCAACGACTAAAACAAAGAATTCCAGCTCTAGTTTTTGCATATTTCTTAGGACAGCTTATTGAACAAAAAAAATTAACAAAGAAGCAAGTTAGACAAATAGTTTCAGAACATTATTATTGGATTTCTGTTCGTGTTTATTATATTTTTGAAACAAGTTCTACTCAGATTTATTGTACCGTTAATACTACTGTTAATTTGATAAGATCTTTAAAACAAAATGAAATTAAGCAATTGGTATTGGAAATTTAAAGACTCACAGGAGTTCGTTCTTTAAGGGGGAAAAGTGTTAAAATAGAAATGTGGCGCAGTAATTTTATGTAGATCAATTTTGTAGATCATTTTGTAGATCCCTTGATTTTTTTGATTTTCTTGATTTATTTGATAAATCTGATAAATCTGATAAATTTGATATATTCGATTTATTTATTTTATTTTATTTATTTATTTTATTTTATTTATTTTATTTGTTTGATATATTTATTTTATTTTATTTATTTATTTTATTTTATTTATTTTATTTATTTATTATATTTGATTTATTTATTTTATCAAATATTCTTAATTTTTACTTTATTATAAATAGTGATAGGATTTTACCAAGTAGAAGGGGAGGTCAATTAGGTAGTTAAGAATTGTATTGTAGTTTTCGAGTTATACGAAAAGAGTATTATTTCCAGTAGTATAATTCAAGATAGTTAATTTCGCAACCAAGAGATTATCTATATTTTCGTCATATTCAAAATCTTACATTATTTTAATAAAAACCTATTTTCTTTAACTGAACATCCAACGATATTTTACGTGATTATTTGTGATCAACTTAAGACTCTCCTATTAAGTTAAACTCCAGTTAAGCTGTTAAAGCGTTAAAGTTTTTCAGTCAGCCTTAATCATTGACAGGATAACACTATAATATAATTAGTTATTTCAGTTGGTATTGATTCATACCAACGTGAATGAATAAACCCCATATGAAAAATAGCTTTACTAGACTGAAGAAGAACCCGATACTGATGTCGACATGGCATTCCTTGATTGATAATATACATACATGTACAAAATAATGTTGAATCTTTAAGAATTACTACGTAATGTGGTGTAGATGTTGATGATGTTACAGTGATATAATAAATCTCCCATATTTCTTGTATTTCGTCACTGTTTATATCTGATAAGAGATCTTGTAATCTAATTTGCGGTTTATCATATATACGTTCAATTATATCATTAGACTGCTCATTATCAGATTCTTTAACTTAATCAATTGAAATTAATATTCCCTGATATAATAATGATTGTTTCATTTAAGCTCGTTGAAGTGATAATGGAATAGGTGCTAAATGATCCTTTAAAATAGAGTCAATATTTTTGAAAATCGTATTATACGTTGACGGAAGACCAGTTGATGGATTTGACCCATAATATTCCTTAATTCGACTATATTGTGTTTCTTTATCCAGTTCATTTTCAATGACTTTTACTAACTCCTTTAATAAAGTTCCTTGATCTAAATGTTTTTTAAGAACACCATTAATGGATTCAACTCGTTGAGTTGACTCAACACCTTCTGTAAATACTTTTGAAATCGCGTATCTTGCCCATGATTCACGACTAGGGTAAAGTTCTTTTTCAAGATAAGATCGATACAGCTCATACTTTGTGAGCATTTCGGTGTATCTTAATTCAAATTGATACTCAGTGTAACTATTACGCATATGATAAAAATCTTCAATAAAATTCTGAACCATATCGTTACGTAGTAAGGCTTTGGCTTTCTTTTTTATATTTTCCGCAATGTGATAAATACATAACAAATGACGCATTTTTGGATAAACAACTTGAACAATAGCTAGCATTTCCAGGTCCCCGTCTGTGTATAATACACGAGGTGAAAGATTATTTGTTACTTTTAAAGTGCATTGTAATATTTAAATATAATCAGCTTGTGTCTCATACTTCATAAGAGCTTGAGCAAGAACTCTTGTTTTAAAATTATTGTCAATTCCAACAAACAAGTTTAGCGCCATTTCGTATCTATTCGTTTTTGCCGTATTATCATGAATGACAACATCATGAAACTTAGGCCAAAGTTCATTACGCTGTTTACTTGTTACCCAAAAAAGACTGGTAAGTTCGTTAGATGGCCCTTCTAAGCGTGGTATTACTACATAATTAGGATCTTCTTCATGTTATTTTAAAAGATATAGGAACATTGTAGCAGCATTAGATTCGTCATGAACCCGAACATCTTGAAACTTTTGGATTGCATTATAGAGGTTTTTTTTTAATATGGTACTGTGGAAACTCATGAACAAGAAGATCATATTGTTGTCCTGCACTTAGGTTACCCTTTGTAGTATAATGTTCAATTTTATCTAAAATTGATTGTGAAAAGCGTAAGTTTTTAGGAGCTAACTCTATTGAAATAGGATCACATTGATGATTATGGCTATTGTTAAATTTCGTAAGATGTATATCAGCAGCACGTTTGCCAAAATAGAAGTTAGCTTGCCAAGGACAGTTTGTTTTAGTTAAACTACTTTCACGATGTAATGTAATATCCTCCACTTTTTTTGGATTATTAATTCCAGCTTTCCAACATTGATAAACACGACGACGAGTAATAGTTTTATCAATGATATCAAGATCTTTACAAAATTTAATAGCAACAAAACCATTGTTTTTTGCAAACGTATTAACAGCAGTTTCAACTGCATTCCAATCTTTGAAGGTATCGTTAACATTTAATATTTCAGTTGTAATTGTTGTATCATTAATATCAGCTATATTATTACCATTCATATTATTTTGTTCACAATCAGGTTCAGTAATTATATCTAAAGATACCGCTACTTGCTTTCCTTTATTTGTTGGATTAAATTGGTCAGATGGTTGGCCTTGATATTGATATTCGTAATCCATTAATTGAAGCAATTGGCCTTGGTTTTGATATTCATAATCCATCAGCTGAAAACTAGATGATAATTGGCCTTGATTTTGACATTCGTAATCCATCACTTGATGATCGGATGATGGTTGGCCTTGAGTTTGATATTCGTAATCCATCAGCTGGAGATAAGATGATAGCTGGTTCTGATTTTGATATTCATAATCCATCAGCTGATCAGATGATGGTTGGCCTTAGTCTTGATATTCATAATCCATCAGTTGAAGGTTGAACGGTTGGTTTTGATATTCGTTATTCATAATTAATATTCGTAATTTGTAGGTTTATTATCAATATTATGGTGACTGATATCTAACTTTAAAGTTGTTTATGAGACTGGCCGTGAAGACAACTGAAAAAGAAGCTTAAAAACCTAAAAAATCGGAAAGAGTATTTGTGGGAAAATCAAATTAGTTACTCTTTTGTAAAATAAAGTAAGTATTAGTTCTATAAAATTTACTAACTTGTTAAACTTTGATATCTAACTTCAAATTTTTTTTCAGATGCTAACTAATAACTTAACGAAACAAACAATAATGGAATAAGTCACGTGATAAAGCGAACTATATCATTAGTAGTAAGATTACGCGAAAATAGTTACCAGTGATGATCACCAGTAAATAAAGTTAAAATCTAATTATATAACACCGGTGATGATCACCGCAGGTGATATGTAGCAATTTTCTTATAAAAAATGTTTTTACAACATTTTTTCATTAAATTAATTAAAAAAATGTTGCGAAAACATTTTTCTAATTAAAATTACTTTAAAAAAACATTTTGCAACATTTTTTCATTAAATTATAAAATATTGCGAAAACGTTTTTTTTATAATAATATATTAAAAAAACGTTGCATAAACGTTTTTTTATAATAATATATATAAAAAAATGTTTTCGCAATAGTTTTAATATAAAACCATTCATTAAATTTGCATTTATTTCAGTAAAAAAATCATAATTAGTATATAAAGTAAAATTGAAATTTTTTTTTTTTTTGATAATTGGGAACTATTTGGCTGGAACAAATAGCTCATATAGAAAGGACAACATTAATATAATAACTTATACAATGCTACATTTATGTTGAACATTAAAGTACAGAATAACAAAAACAAAAATAAAGCTAACATAGAAAATATAGACAGTTTTTTATATAGTCAACAAATATGATATGAGGAACAATAATAAATAGATTTAGATGCGTTGTACCTTACACTCCACATTGGAACCCATAATATTGACGGATTGGCAGGGGACAATGCAAAACTTTATGGAATTCTAAGTTGGATGCAAGAAAACCAGGTAGACATTATAGCCTTGAATGAAACTAATTTAGACCAAAAGAACGGGTTTTTCAAAATGCCTAATAGTTTTAAAGAGCAATTTCATATATATTGGTCAAGCAAATAGAAAGACAAACATAAGGATTCAGAAGTAGCGTTAATTTGTTCAAGGAAATGGAATAAACA